CATAGAGTTGTCAGTCATTGTTGTATGTTGCCAGAGGGGTGACAATGTTTTTCGCAAGCGCGGAACTTTTGCACTTTACCTGACTTCTGCTTCCTGCAATGTTTATGGTCCCATATGTCGGAAGCGTGTGATGCTTTTGCATTCTTGTGCTCACGTGTCTCGAGAGCCCATGGTTGCTCGCACCTTCGTAATGCTGGGAGGGGATCAACCCGTAAGTCAGTCCAGTGCCTTTGTCCAAACTCTCCCAGTTCACAAGGCATCAGTAGGATTTGTCAAAAAAGACAGACAAGTCAGACAAGTCCTAGATGTCCAAACAGGCCCTGCAGGCAATGGCACCTCAACCAAGGAGCGACAGACGGGGAAGGGAAGGGGAAGGGGGCGACCGAGCAGGAAACGTTTGGTGTCATTTTCGGAGCACTTCCATAGAGTTTGAAATAGTTTGAATGTTTATGACTTCAAGCACATGTTTAGAGCTTTACTGTACATGCTGGGTTTGGGGCTGGCAATGCTTGTCAACAACCTGTCCAGCTCGGGGGTAACTTGAATGTTTTTCTGTAGTGCATCAAACCGGAAGGAGCTATACTCCAGAGACTCCAGAGAATGACACACACACTCACACAAACATCCTAGATTCACAGTAAGGTGAAACGTTTCTTCAAAGGGTTGTTACCCTCTCCATTCTCTGAACCTCACATTGACTTTTGGGATGAATTGGACCGTACGGGTGATGAAGCATATCTGGCCTCAGTTCAAGTCCACTTCCGTGTCCCACACGTCCCGCACTCCGTGAGGAAGGTAAGGGAATGACCGCAGAGGAAAAGGAAAAGGCTGGACAATGTTGAGAGTTTGAACCGGCAGATGGTCACATCTGGATATTCACATAGGCAAGGGCCACTTTCACTGGAAGAAACAAAGGGCTTCTATCAAAGAAAGATTCGAGAAATGGACAATGCAGAAGGTTTTTCAAGAATCCCCTGGTTTTGTTCGCACGAAAGAACCTCCAACAACATAGAATGATCCGCCATTCTTGGCAACTCCAGGTGGATTCGCATAATTGACCTTTGGTGAATTCATTCAGACATGGAAAGGGACCTTATGTAGGTAAAGCAATCTCCTACCAAACAGGGGTGGGAAGTGGCAGGTGTGCAGTCTTGAAATTGAATCCATTGACAAGCCCCCTGACCATAGCTAGCTCAGCAACCGCAAGCGACCGCAAGCGACGCGCGCAAGCGACCTCCAGACCTGACCAAAACAAATAACTAGTCTAAGGAAGCTGACTTTGAGACGTTTCAAATCGTTGATTTATGGGGTTATGCAATGGATTTCCTATGATCGACTTACCCCAAAGCCTTTGCATGACGGACTGAGTTTGTGCGGGACTGGAATAAGCATATGCCTTGCAGGGTTCCCAATATTAATTAAGAGTCCTCCTAAATTTGGAAGCTACCCACCCATCAACAGTCGTTATCTAACTTGGCTAAATAGACATCAACCAAATTCAACCGCATGTTTTTGTGTGGTCTTTCCATCTGAGAGACCCCTCCATAGGCAGGGAAGAAAATCTTTGCTGGCTTGGTGGCGGCCATAGTGGCTCTCGTTGGCTTTGTCATTTGGCGCAGGCGGATGGGCAGAACTATTAACCAGCGGAGATTGATTGCTGTCCACATGAATAGCAGTGCAGGACAGCATGAGCCACTTCTTGTTTTAAGCCGCATGTTCGAGTTAGAATGATTGGTTTTCTACCTGCAATGTTACGCCTGGCCCGGAAGGGCCCAAATCGACATTGTGAAGCATGGAACCATTAAGTTTGGGTTTATATTTGGCTCCAATCGATCGCCTGGATAGGCGGAGGAAGAGTTCGGATCTTGGATTGTCAGAGTGAGCAGAGCACATTCGATGCACAGTTAGTTTGATGTCTATTCCAAGAGCTATGGTTGCGCTGGAATAGTGGTGTCCAATGCGCCGCTCTTAGCTGTGTTCGAGACATGGCTGTGGGTCATGGCACCGGGACACCCTGGTTGACCAAGAATGAATGGAACAGACTACCTGGGAGGTGAACCTACCCTGGTTTGGGGCTCCGGGTGTTGACCCGAGACACATACATATTTCTAACAACAAACTAGCAATCACAGCCCGTCCCACTTGAGGTAGTCCTCCTAGCAGCGCTGGCACTGACGGTGGAGGTGCGACATCGTCACTCAGCTGCACAAGGCAGTTCTGCTACGTTTGATGGGCTGTAGGAGGAATCCAAGAAGGGCTGGGCTAGTGTTACTAGTTGCAAGAAGCTACTAGTAGCTATGTGCTACTAATGGCCTCCAACCTACTAGCGATGGCCTCGAACCTAATAGCTTCTAGCCAGTGTCAACGACTTGGCATTCTTCTTTGATTGTTCATTTCTTTGCCTTGTCCCAGTCACTTGGGGCCGGTTCCACTCTCCACGGGACAAACGAAAGCTGGCGACAGCAGAACCAACCAGATATGAATCTATTTCACATCAAGATTGGATCTTGACTTGTGCTCGTGTGCGATGTTCTTTTATTTTAAACCATATCAACACCTTGATTTGGGTGTTTGGCAACTGCGTTCGCCTTTTCCAAGGCCGAAGTCAGGAAAGCCACCGCCGCCCAAGCGAGACTTTTTGACACGGGTGAAGAAGCCCTTGACAGAGGCAGCTGTTCTGCACAAACGAGAATGTGTGCATGATTGATTATAGATGTATGGATGATATGCACGCATTCTATATGTTACATAGTCTTACTGCGGCAGTTCTGAGTGCATGTTCTGCGAAAAGCTCCGATATGGCATGCCTGTTGCGAGTTTGAATCGCAACACATTTGATCAGAGTTGTAAATGTTATTGTGCGTGTGTCAGACTTTTACTGGACCAGAGGTATTACCCATTGAATCATCAAGCAACAGAAATCTTGCGTGATCAAGTGCGGTTGAAGCTCACAGCAAGGAGTTCGCTTCAGGTCCACTTGCAACTGGGAAGAACCAACCTGCATTCATTGCAACTGTCGCGGGCACAAGCCTGCTCTGGTCTTGCATTGCCTTTCTCAAGCCAAGCGCCGCAAGGCCATAGGAACACCCGACCCAGACAATACGACCTACCGTGAGTCTATGAAGAGCAGGCTGATGTGCCACAATCAACAACATGAATGACTAGCGGTGTGATTGGAGAGCCCCTAAACAATTCCCTTCCGTTGGGCAATGGCGGCTGTTTTATCTTTATAGCAACATGTGGCTGATTCTCATGTTGCTGTTCATGCTCTTTGCACCCAAAAGGGGTTAAAGCCGCTCGAAGACATGGATATTTTTCGCCCCAGTGGATCCTGCTAAAATGAACACGACTAGGTGACGCCAAAACGGTATTTTTTGGCCGACCGATGCTTTCCAGTCTTTCGGCGCTATGCCTAGTGCCAAGCACAGCGCCACGATTGGAGTTGTCATGGCGTGCCTGCAACCAAAAATTGCCAGGGCCCAAGAAGATCGAGGCATTTCTTGGAACAGGGAGTCTTGCAACAGAACAGTATAGCCACCTTACTGCCCTCCGAATCAGTCAAGAGGCTTGAGCTTAATTACAGAGGAGAAATCAGGAGATCCAGAGTCCCCCAAGACTTTGACCATGCATGACTGTAAAACGAGCACTGTTATACTATTATATTGCTATATTTGATTATATATATTTATGTGATTGCAAACGACATGTGTACGATCGGATACGATCGGCCATGCATTTGTGTGCACCATCTCCTAGGCCCGATTCTCCTTATGGCCGCCATGGGTGGTCGGCCTTTGCCCTGGGTGCTCTTCACGGCGTGAGGGCCACGGGACGAGCGACTCGGGCGGCAAAGCCACGGGCGAAGCCCACAGCCTTGGAGCAGAGCTTGCGGCGGCGCTGGCTGGAGCGAGAATTCGGTCGCTTGGAACATCCTGCAGTTTAATAAGTAGGATGAAGGGGTCACAATGACGTGTCATCGCAATTATATAGTTAGGTACTATTTGGAATTGATTTGGAGGTTGGGTGAGGGCCTGTCCTTACAACATCTTACAATGCATTGTTTTTGGATGTTTTTGGTCTCATATGTTTAGCGGTTGGAACAACAGAATGACTTCAGCAGTCCCGTCTCCAGCACCGTCCAAATCCAGTCGAAATCATGAGGCACTGCAGGGTTCTTGTTGATAGGAATTGGCTCCTCGTTTCGGGATTCTCTGACCAGCAAGCACCTCCATTTCCCCATTCATTGCTGGAAGAGGACATCTCCGATGTTGTTGCTAGCCTGCAGAAAGCTTTGTATCTGTGAGAGACGACCATAATTGATCATAATTGTTTCTTCTTCCCTTTCTTCTTGGGGCAAATTTCAAGAAAAACTCACTCTTTGAGTGATCCACTCCGCCAATCTATCCTTCTTTGCCAGTGCGTTCTATGAACTGAGCTGTACAAATGCAGTGGTCTGGTGTCGAGCGCAGCTCTTCTGACTAGGATCCCACTTCCCTTGATCCCTTTGAGCACCTCACAAACCAGGTGTCCAAGGGTTCCCAAAACACTAAGAACAAATATTATACATATACCCTTAGTATCCCTTAGTATAGACGATATCTATATATATATACACTTGTATTAGAATCACTAAGAGACCCTTCTGCAAACCGTTGACCAATAGGCTGCACACCATTCCATGGCACATACTTTATCATCAAGCTGTCACTTAGCCATCCAAAAGGCAGAAGTCGCTAGAATACTAGAAGTGGCTAACTGGTTTGGTGCTCCAAAGGTTCCCCTTCTTCCCTTTTTTTCCTTCCACCTAGCCCGGTCCCGTCCGAGGTGAGCCGCTGCTGGCCGGTTGGCTCTCTGTGGCGGACCCCGAAGCTTTGGAGCGCGCCGAGGGCGCTGCCGAGGGCGCTGCCGAGGGCGCTGCCGAGGGCGC